CACCCATTAGGTATGTGTGGGAAAAATGGCACCATTCTAGAACCACACAACTCAGTCTATTCCATATTCTTTCCATACCTCCTGGAGAGTTCAGCCTCAGCAGGGTAGGGTGACAGGGAGTCGGTAGGATGGGGCTATGTATTCCCCAAGGCTGATATAGTATAGAGGGTAGTGCTTGACCCAAGAAAGATTGCATTTGCTGGTGGCATGGCAGAGGGACTCAGCGCAAGGACTCTGGCAGCTATCCATCCCTTCAACTCTCTCCCCAGAGCCACAAACCCCATCTCTCCTCACAAGACTGTAGTTCTCTGTGAGCTGACCCACCCTCCTTCTGCCAGAACCCAGGGTAAGAGGCTGAAAACAAGATTTTGTGTGGTGGCCCTTTAAGAGGGTGCCTGGGTTTCTAGCAGACTTGCTTCTCTAGCTAGAAAGACATAATCCCCATTGATTTTTAAAGCCTTGTGTTATATAGGCCCCTCTTTCCAGCTCTGGTGTTCTGGGCTGGGGAGCCTGGTGTAGGGTTAAGACCTCACACTCCTCAGGGAGTTCCTGAGCCACATGTGGGTACAGAGCCAGCCCTTCCTGCATCACTACCCTTTTTACTAGTCTATATGGCATCTTCTATAAATTCTTGGTTATAAGACTTCTGGTCAGCTAGCCTTCAGTTGGTTATTCTGGTTAACATTTCTATGTTTTGGTTGTAATTCTGGTTTTGTTCTGGAAGGAAATGAGTGTAACTTCTACCTACTCTATTGCCATCTTGGATCCCATAATTTCCCTTTGTTTTTGTGAGGGGTGTAAGGAGACCCAGGGCTTTAACTACCAATCATTAGATTAGCTAGGCCCCTCAGAAGCACTTGTGGTTTCAGTTGATGTACTGGAAATTGCTATGCTGTGCCTTTATTTCAGTGTTTTTCAGTTTGATTGCTTTTTAAAAATATGTCTTTATTGATTTTTTGACAGAGAGGGAAAGAGATAGATAGATTGAAACATTGATGAGAGAGACACATCAATTGGCTACCTCCTGCATGCCCCCCAAAGGGGAACAAGCCCCCCTCAGGCATGTACCCTGACCTGGAATGGAACCAAAGACCTCTTGGTTCCTGGGTTGATACTCAACCACTGAGCCACACTGGCCTGGCTGATCACTTTTGTTAAGGCAGAGGAAAATCACCTCACCTTTGTTTACCCCTAAGTGGCTATGACTCAGTCAAAGAGAACCCGAGTTTCTTTCTCTGCCTCTTCTGTGGGACAAATAGGCCACGGTTCTTTTCAATGTAAAACTATCCTAAGTCTACCCTTAAGTCAATAGCAGTTTTCTTGTTTAAGGCCAAGAATATGGAATGGAATTTATTTTAAAGAAATGCATTTATCTCCAAACTTATGAGTTATAGGGATTAATTTTTCATTCATTTAATTTTCTTCCTGTGGACACTAAACATTTTTGATGCAAGAGATTTAGTATAGATATTAGATAGTAGAGAAAAGGCTGCCTAAACTACTTAAGACCTCAGCATTAGGGACGTCTCATTTCAGGTAATTCATTTGGAAGTCTCATCTCAGTGGGAAGTCTCATTTCAGTTGGAAGTCTCATTTTAGGTAATTCATTTAAGAAAAAGACACATCACATTGACTTCAGACATGTACTACCTCAGTGGGGTTCTTCTTTTGAAAGACAAGTTTTAGATTAAAACTGTTGATAATTAATGTCAAAATAGAACTGAATCTGAGAGAAAAAAATGAGTAAGGGTCACATCCCTAAACCATCAGATTATCAGTTTTATCAGGAGAGTAGAACACCGTGCCTGCCAATGCGTGCTCCTTTAATGAAATGGAACCAACCGATGAAAAACAGTCATGCACAGGGGCATTTAAAAGGAGATATGAGAAGAAAAAAATGGATTTCACTGAGCTTCAGAGAAGGAAAACTTTGGGTATTAATTGAAAGTTGCCATTTATCTGTAGTGGATGGTATGTGTTACACAGAGGCGTGGCTTAATGGTCTCTGTCCTTTAACTCTATTGCAATGGTTTCTACAGCAATACTTTTTATTAATGGAATTCTACAAAGAGCTCAAAGCACGTTTGCTGCTTTCCTGACTGACATTCTGTTACCTAAACATGCATTGGATTTACTTTTTGAAAATGAGATTCCAAATCAAAAGGAGGCTGAAAAAATTTTTATTACTGTTTTGCAGACTTCTTGTGACTAGTTTGTTTTCCTGAAGGCTAATAAAATGATATAAAGGAAAGCCAACATCTATACCACTTCACTTAATGAGGCAGGCAAGATAAAATCTGTTCCCCAATGTCAGTTCATCTTTTCAAAGAAAGAGTGGAGAGTAAAAAGAGACTGCTAAGGCTAAGACTGCTAGGGTGTTCAATGGGAGACAATGCAAATGCACATGGATTTGCATCCTGGAACCATTGATAATATTAGCCATGTGACCTTAAGTAAACCCTTAGCTTTTGGGGCTTTGGTGGCCATAAATGAAGAATGGGATAATCTATTCCCAACAGTGGGGTGGAAGTATTGCTTGAGCTACCCTGTTTACAGTGGCTTAGTGTTCAGCGAATAGCTGGTGATATGTCTTTTCCCCTTGCACTGTAAGCTTCAAGATTGACGCTGTGACAGCTTTTGCCACCAGAGTAGCCAATGGATTTTGTGCATTACTGTGGCCTATGGAATATTTGCTTAGTGCTTTCTGTTGTCAAGTTTATGTGGTTAACACCATCCCCAATTTAGAGCTGTGGAACATAAGGCTCAGAGAAGTTAATTTATTCAAGATGGCTCTGCTAGAATGGCTATCATCAACAAATCAATGAACGACAAGTGCTGGAGAGACTGCGGAGAAAAAGGAACCCTCCCTCTTAAACTGCTGGTGGGAATGCAGACTGGTGCAGCCACTGTGGAAAACAGTATGGCGTTTCCTCAAAAAATTAAAAATGGAACTCCCATTTGACCCAGTGATCCCACTTCTAGGAATATTTCCCAAGAAAACAAAACACCCATCAGAAAGGATCTATGCACCCCTATGTTCATAGCAGCACAATTTACATTAGCTAAGATTTGGAAACAGCCTAAGTTTCCAAATGAAACTTAGCAGATGAGTAGATTAGAAAACTTTGGTACATCTACACAATGGAATACTATGCTGCTGTAAAAAAGAAGGAATTCTTACCATTTGCAACAGCATGGATGGAACTGGAGAGCATTATGCTAAGTGAAATAAGCCAGTCAGAGAAAGATAAATATCACATAATCTCACTCATTAGTGGAATATAATGAACAACATAAACTGATGAGCAAAAATAGAACCAGAGTCATTGAAGCATCGCAAGACTGTCCCACCTGTGAGGGAAGGTGGTGGGTGAGAGGGTGAGAGATCAACCAAAGGACTTGTATGCATGCATATGAGCATAACCAATAGACACAGACTGGGAGGGGGGTGTGGGGAGAGGGCATGTGCCGGGGGGAGGGGGGGCAGCTGGGGAGAAGTCAATGGGGGAAAAAGGAGACATGTAATAGTTTTAACAATAAAGAATTTTTAAAAAGAAAAATATATGGAAAAACAAACAAAAAAAGATGGCTCTGCTAGAAATCACATGAAAAAATGCTCAGTGTCACTAGTTATCAGAGAGATGCAAATTAAAACAACAATGAGGTACCACCTCACACCTGCCAGAATGGCTACCATTAATAAGTCAATAAACAGCAAGTGCTGGCAAGGATGTGGAGGAAAAAAAAACACCCTAGTACACCGCTGGTGGGAATGCAGACTGGTACAACCACAATGGAAAACAGTGTGGAGTTTCTTCAAAAAATTAAAAGTGGAACTACCATTTGACTCAGTGATCCCACTTCTAGGAACATATCCTAAGAATCCTGAAACACCAATCAGAAAGAATATATGCACCCCTATGTTCATAGCAGCATTATTTACAATAGCTAAGATCTGGAAACAGCCCAAGTGCCCATCAATAGATGAGTGGATAAAAAAAAGCTGTGCTACATTTACACAATGCAATACTATGCAGCTGTAAAAAAGAAGGCTCTAGGAAGGATCTCATACCCTTTGAGACAGCATGGAAGAACCTGGAGATTATTATGCTGAGCAAAATAAGCCAGTCAGAGAATGACAAGTGTCACATGGTTTCACTTTTATATGGACTATAATGAACAAAATAAACTGACAAACAAAAAATATCCAGAGACTTTGAAGCATGCAATGGTCTGGCACATTTCAGAGGGAAGGGGATTGGAGGGTGGAAAGACATTAACCAAAGAATTTATACGCATATATGCATAGCCCTTGGACAGATAATAGTGCAGGAAAGACCTGTGGATGGGGTGGAAACGGGATGGTGGGTCAGTGCAGGGGTGTGGTGGGGAGACATCTGTAATACCTTCAACAATAAAGACAAATTTTAAAAAAGAGGTAACATTCAAACTGAAGTCTCCCTAACAATGGAGCTTGCATATATAATTCTACCATCAAAAGGGTTCAACCAGGGTCTGGCTGCTGTATAGTTGATTTGCTGTTTGTTGAACTAAATCTTGGAACTATACAGTTGGCAGTGAATAGTAAAAATTTGGGCTATCCTCACCTGGGATCAGATTTTCAGTTTCAGAAAGACACTATATCTCTTGGTCGTTGTTCTCTTGGACCCTGAGTGTCCAGTCAGTTGAGCACCCTACCCCTGACATTTCCTGTGACAGGACTGACAGCTTCTGAACAGGCTTAGCACATACCAGGCATGGACATGCAGTCCCCTGCACAGTGGTAGGCAGATCCGATGACGACTGTGCAATTGGATGAAATCGAGTCAAGAAAAGCCACATGTAAAAATACATTTCCTTCCAAAATGATGGTGCATCTGCAAGGGTGTAACGAGCAGTGATATTCTTGGCATTCGTTGGAAACACCCCGGGCTGCTTGGGTAATACATTTCCTAGGGTTAGTCATTAACAGGCTTCCTGCTTTCCACCTCTTTTGACAGGCCCAGCTGTGAGATACAGTAAGTTCAAGATGTCAGAGGCCAGGCCACCTCCCCTGCTTGGGCAGCACACGACGCACATCCTGAAAGAGGCCCTCAGATACGATGACAGGACCATTGCCGAGCTGCTCAGGACTGGAGTAGTGAACCAGCATGAAGCCGAATGACAGAAGAAAAATGCTCTTTCTTAAAAACAGCGTCTGACTGCACTTTACTAGCAAAGGCAATACTCTTTCTGAACCCTACTTCCCAATTCTGGTGCTTGGCACTAAAAAGAAGAATAAATTCCAGATTTCCTGCCTAGCATTTGGCTCTGGTATCAATGAATCTAGTGCTTCTTAAATGTATCCCACCTTTCATTCATTACCATTTTTTTCCTCCAGATAATAGATTAATTGTGAATTTGTGGGATTTTTTGGTAAAGATTTTTTTTTTTTTTTTTGAAAAATGCATTCCTTCTTCTAATTAGATGAATAGCCTAAACATTTTGCCTCCCCAGCTCATGCAGGTCTGAAAAAGAGCAGGTCTCTTGACATTCTCTACTTGCACATAAAGTCCTCATTTAAACCTTTGTTAGGAAGTCAAAGCAATAAGCAGAATGACAGTCTCAGTGATTGATTTTAAACAGAATAACTTAATTTTGAGCTCATGAGCTCTTTGTTAATCTGTAATTTAAACCATGGATTTTGCTGATGGCCATTATAAAACCGAACTTCATTCTCCACAGGGGAGTAAATGTTTGACTTATGCTGTATTTCTCTAATTAATTTCATGATACATAGCAGAAAATCGATTTCCACCAATGCATTTTGAGGTGTAGGTATCTATCTGCAATAAGAGTAGAAAAGTGGTTCTTTAATTGATACCTTATTTTGAGCCAAGTGTAAATGCAACATGTTTGTGAATGAATAGCAGATGACTACCTAGGTATTAAATAATGTATAAACAATGACAAATAGAAGAATAAAACATTTTTCTTATAATTTGAGTATCCACTGTAGAAAAATGTATCCTGTCTTGATATTAAATATTTGTACTTAAACATTTAAATAGTTGTCAGTGAATTCAACGTATAGAAAATATCTTCTGTCCAGAATGTAGTAACTGAATTGTATGTGCATTCCAAATTAAACTGTCACTCAGACTGTCAATCACCCACACCTAGGTATAGACCAAGGAATCAGATAACACCTACTATCAATATCCAGGTATAATCTCAATTCATGGTTGTTAGACACACATATTTGAAAGTCATGTCATTACATATCAAGTGGTAAGTTAGATTATAGATAGATATTCATCCTTCAAACTATGATTTTGAGCTAGTTTTCTTTTTGTGTCCTTTTTTATTGGAATAATTGGAGCCATTTATCCATGTTGTAAGCCCAATATGTGTCTAGACTCAAGGTTCTGAATAAAAAAAATGTCTTCTCACAAGGCCTCATAGGGCTTTTGAGAAGAATACCTGCTAGTTCTTAAAACAGTTATTGTCCTCCCTGCTCTTTTTTTTTTTTTTTAAAGATATTTTATTGATTTTTCACAGAGAGGAAGGGAGAGGGATAGAGAGTTAGAAACATCGATGAGAGAGAAACATCGACCAGCTGCCTCCGGCACACCCCCCACTGGGGATGTGCCGGCAACCAAGGTACATGCCCTTGACCAGAATTGAACCTGGGACCCTTGAGTCCGCAGGCCGACGCTCCATCCACTGAGCCAAACCGGTTAGGGCTGTCCTCCCTGCTCTTGTTCTCTGTGCACATCTTATTCGGAAGAGCTCCTGCTGTTATTCCACCAGATAGAATTTCATTATACGAGGGTAATTAATACCTTCTGTAGTACTTCCCCCCCCCCCCAATGGCTAATTCACAGATACATCTTTGGATACATTCACTTCAGGCCAAACATCTAAATAAAATCCCTCCATAAATATACAATTAGCAATGAAAATGGTAAAAGGCTGGATGAAGAGAACTCGCAAAACCACATATCTTAAAAGACAAATCCACCATTTCTTCTACTGATCCAAGTAGATATCTTGAGAAGCAAATTAATTGGATCCTGAGCAATGACCCTAAATATCTGGGCAGCCATATGTGGGAGCATACTGATCATTCAAAGAGCGTCGCAGAATTCCTCAAAACCTTGAACTCAATCAAAATTGCAATCTTCATCATAGCAGAGTCACCCTTAGAGACAGTCTCCAGTGTAATCATGTATTGTAGTAACTAACCAGTTTTCTAGCTACGCAACTCAAAATGATCCAGGAGAACTTTGAACCAGTTCATCATCCAATAAAAAGCATTCACTTTACCTATTTAGTGAGAGAAATAATTCATAATATATTTTAAATTCAGATAGATAATTAGCCCTGAAAGAAACATGTGCTTGCTAAATTTTTTAGCAGTGTGCCCCAGATCAGGTTATGCCTATAAACAAATGTGCTGTTTTAATTATCAGGCCCTATTACCTTCCACTCTCCCTAAGCTGAACACACTGCTAAGTACCATATGCTCAAGTTCAGTCTGTGTCAAGGCCTGCCTTCTGACAGGTTTGTGTCTGAGGCTCGCCTAGAAAATGCTTTGAAACTTAGTGGGTTAATCAATATGAAAGTGATGGTGTGTTCACAAGCAACGAGGCTTCCTTTACTTGACTTTTTTTTCTGGAAACTTTTGCTGCAATAATTTTCTGGTTAAGCAGGCATGGTATTTTCCAACATGCAGTCTGATATGCTGAATGTTACCCTAGCAGAGTCGCCCTTGGAGACGGTCTCCAGAAGAGAAATGAGCGCTAACCAACATTGTGTGACTATCCCAGATAGTTGGTATCCTTTTCTCTTTGCTCCGTTTCCTAAGAGTTAGAAGCACAGATGTGATTTTAAAAAATCAAAGAGGTTTCATGTAGGCTATTTCATTCTATGCCATTCGGCTACTAAACCTTGACAACCTCACAGTGGGGACTTTTATAGGAAGACTTCATGATCTCTGCTTTCAACATGCAGGGGTATTCACACCCACTCCCATCTCACCTGGATTTGACATTTCACCACGGACTCTTATCCTGTGACATTGGCATGTTGCCTACTTTAAAAGCTTTATAGATGCCAGTCTTGCTTATCACTTTTCATATGGCTCAATGCTGCCTTCATCCATAGAACTGGTCCTCCAGATAATGGGCCTATAGATACTGAGGAAGAATTCCAGCTCAGGGGTGAATGGACCATCCAGATCTTCTGCCTTTCCCCTGACTACTCACCATTGATTCTCAATTGGCAAAGGAGACAAGTGTGAAAAAATTACCCTTCCTACCCTGAACCTGGGCTATTCATTTTCAAACTCATCCTTCAATATTATGTTATTATTCTTGCATTTGCTTCTATTTATAGGGGATTATCCACTGTAGTGAGCCCTTATAATTGATGAGATTCCTGAGACACAATAGGCCTGAAAAGATAGTTGTTAATCTTGATTATAGTATCAGTGATCCTTAAGAGGCCAGAATATCGAGCTCTTTTCTTTTCCCTCTAGCTTTCGTGGTACTAGTACTGGTACAGTATTATTTGAAAAGGAGGAAAATAAGATTCAGAGAAAAGTATATATTTCCATTCCAAACAACAATTGGAAACACAAAACATCACAGTCTCTTATCACCATCGATAATGAGGTGTAGGAAGGCATAAGGATAAAATTGTATTTTTATAGCAATACCAGGGTTAAATGTCTTATAAATTACTACTCTCATAAGACGATGAAATAATTTCTTAATGTAGACATACCAAGCTATCTTGTGAGTCCAAATGGCCCTGAACTTTTAAACCAGTCTGGCTTTATGCAGGCCAGGTTTATGCGGTACAATTAGTAGATATAAGCAACTCCAATAGATATGTTTCTCCAATACCCATTCAAAAACCTGTCTTCTGCTGTCACTCCAGAAGGTTAAAGTATTAGAGTCAAATGAATGCAAATTCTTTGCACTCATACATTTAATTCCATACAAGCTATGGGAGTTAGAACAGATACATTTAATTAGCAGGAAAGGAAAAGAGCACGCCCAGGTCAGGCAGGCCCAAGGGTGCCTTTGCGCAGGATACTCTGGAACCCATAGCTGCATGAGCCCAGCCAGATGCGGAGGTGCCAAGAAGGGGAGGCAGACACTGGCAGAAGCTCAAACACTACCTAGGGAACGGATTTTACCCACCTCAAAAATTTTCCTAAGAAATAGCTCTGTTTTATTTTCCATTTCTTAAGACTTTCGTTTTAAAAGCACTGCCTCAGATCCTGCCACTTTACAACATTCTTAATAAAAGAGTGTGGTAGGCAGAATCATTGCCCACCAAAGACGTCCACACCCTCATTTCCAGAACCTGTGACTATGTTACCTTGCATGGCAAGAGGGAATTAAGGTTGCTAATTAGGTGACCTTAAAATAGATTATTCTAGATGATGCAGTTGGGCCCAATATAAACACAGGGGTTGTTTAGATGTAGAAGAGTAAATGCCAGTTATGTGATGTGAGAAAGACTTTACTGACCAACCATTGCTGGCTTTGGAAATGGACGTGAACCAAGAAACATAGGCATCTAGATGATGGAAGGCAAGAAAGTGGACTCTCCACAGAGCCTCCTGAAAGAACGCAGCCCTCCTTGATGTTTGGCTGGTAAAATTTATTTTGGACTCATTTTGAACTTCTGACCTCCATAGGTTTAAGATAATAAATTAGCATTGTGTGAAGTCACTAAATTAGTGACACTTTGTTACAGCACCAATAGAAAACTAATACCGAGGCTGCTCTGCCTCTGCAAGTCTAAAGTGACAAGTAAATCACTACTTTGCAAAGTGACCAGATGACCCTGTGTTTGTTTCTCTATTTTTCTGTCTACTGACTTCCCTAACTTTCTTTTCCCCCCATTCTTCGAAACCCCTTATTCTCCTCTCTTTCTCAGGGGTAATCTTTTTTCTCCCTCTCCTTTTACCTTCTTTGCCCCTTCCTCCTCTTCTATCTCATCTTCCTCTCCCTTTCTCTACATGGACACACAGAGGCAGAGTTATATATTCATGTTACACAAGCATGGATGCCAAAACCTTTGACCGACTTTCAGAAAAATAGGGCTTGCTCAGTAATTTGGAAGATAACTAGTGGTCATTCTGGCCATGACCTCACCTCCACAAGCAATCTTGAATTAATCTCTGGGTGGGGTGGTTCTCAAATAACTGGCTGCCACTTCTTCTGCCTTGAAACTCAGGCAAAAACATGAAGGGCTGCTCCAAGTGCCAATCTGGGCTGAGGCAGAGCCCTCGGGCTTACTACATCTCGGTCACATGCCCCAGTTCTAAGAAAAAAGCTAAACTAAATAAAATATAACACAGAACAGAATCTAGACTCTGTGACAACCAGGGCCCTGCTGCTTTGGTTATTGGACTTTCATCTGAGCAAGCGGGGGTGGGGAGACACGATGGTTCATGCACTAGGCCTTGGCCTCTGTTTCTGGTTCCTTTTTAGAGAAGGCAGCTTACTTGGCCCTCAGGTGGTGATGACTAGTTTGTCCCTGGCCATTATACTGGTACTCAAATGGCGTCCAGAAGGAAGGTACTTTCTTCCCTCTGTTGGTTTTGCCATCTGCTAAAAACGGTGACTGGATCCTCACAGCTCTCTGTCATTTCTTCTTGCAACAGGATGGAAAACACTTTAGCACATCTCCGCTCCCCTTTTCATTTTCTTGCAAAGTAACCACATGGCAATCTGTCCAACTCAACTTGGTTTCTTTGGCTCCTCACCACAAAGATTGGAGGAAACATGCTTTCCTGCCCCTCCTCCTATCACCCGCACCCTTTCCTCTCACCCAGAACTTTTGCACAAGTGCTCACCATGAAGCAAGACATTCAGCTTCAGAACACACAACTGAGATTGAAATTAATGTAACACGGCCACGGGAAAATATCTTTCTTTCCGCCCCTTTACCTCTTTGTGAACCCTAAAGAAAAATTTGGACTTCCACAGCATCTCTTGGTTTGAGAAGTGGCAACATGTGTAA